ACACATATCTAAATATATCTAAATATATAAATATATATATATATATATATATATATATATATACATATATATATATATATATATATATATATATATATATATATATATATATATATATATATATATATATATATATATATATATATATATAAAAATGGGGATTTGTATGCATATATAAGATCATTGATGAAATCTTAAAGAAATTCATATCTATGAGGGCTTCAGTAAATCAACTGAAGTTACAGGTTTAATAATATGGCCAAATAAATTTTTTCTTATGCATTAATTTTTTCTATTTGTTCTTAGTCTGGATTTAAGTTGGCAAAATATATTAGAACAGTGTCAATCTATTCTGTAGTTGTATGAGAACAGTGCATTTCATAAATAATATATACAAGTAAACAATATAACTGGATTTACAGGATTTTACTATCTATCATAGTCATAGTAGTAGCAAATCTCAAAAAAACTTTAAATTAGAAGATAAAAAAAGGTATATTAAACCTTTTACGCACACTGGAATAGGTTTGCCAATAAATAAAACAGTGCAACTACATTCAGGGTTTGGATTTTAAAAACTACAGACTTACGACTACAAAACTACAACTTTGACCTTTAACTAAAAAGCTACTTCTACAGTTCTACACTTAAAAACCTACAATATAAAAACAAACTAAGAAAATACATTTCAATAATTAAATATATCTAATGTAAAATGCTTTCACTTTAGACAAGCTCTAAGTAAGAACAAGTGGACAAGTAAGTAGCAAAAGTGCAAATGGTAAATTGGTTGAAGTAGTATTACTTGTAAAAAGATACATATAGCTGTACTGGTAAAGCGGTTGAAATAGTTGTACTGATATAGTGGTTGAAATAGTTGTAATGGTAGGGGTCATAAAAAAAACAAATACTTTCTAAATAAATTATAAATGTAAATAAGATATTAATTATAAAAATAATAAATTTTAATGCTTTTTGTTTTATTTGATATTTCTACTAAATATCTAATTATATAAATATTTATAATGTCTAATGTCCAACTCAGATTTCAGCATTAAAAGTGACTAACAATTACTGCTTCAAACTTTACAAATCTTATTTATAACTACATATATTTCTTGAGTATAACAAAAGTTCATTCTTCTACATTTATTTTTTTGAATAAGAATGTAACATTTTTAATGACAAGTAATTTTTATAAACTTAAACACTTAAATTTTAAAGTGGCTCATACGTTAAAAATACATAAAATCAATAAAAAAACTTGCCTTTTATGTTATCTTATTTGAAATTTTTTCTAAAATTTAAAAAAATATTTTTATATACATTTAAACTAATAAGTTTATAATTAGTTAAATTATAAGTAAAAATTAGTTTTTTGAGGTACAGTTTTTTGAGCTTTACAGCAATGCCTAAGCAGCAATGATTTCCTGTCTATTCAGTACCCTATTAAACGCAACTAATTTGTATTTAAGTTTTTAGGTTGCAAAAGCAATAGGGTACTGAATAAATTTTTTTGTGGCATTTTTTTTTTTAAACTTATATTTCAGTTTTGAGGTAACATTGACAGGAATACATAAGTCAGAATGCTTAAGAGTTTGACAGAATGTCTTACATCTGAAGAATCGAAGAAAGCTAATTGATAGCTTTCAAAATTTAATATAAAATTACATTTTTTATTGCAATTTTAAAACTTTTTAATGCTGCCTAATTTTTAACGAAATTGTAGGTTAGTGCTAATATATATTAATAATGTTTTGTTTGTCAATATTCCAATGATAACATTACCCCTCATGATGTAACTTTAATATTTACAGCATAAAACATCCTACTGTCAATGTTACCCCATACAGTTGACAGTTAAACCCCTCCCAAAAAAAACTAACATCTATCAATAGTATTAGATAACTGCTTAAATTCTTCATCAGTTTATGGCAGCATTATATTAATAAATATAGCATACCAAAAAGACACTTTTTTTTTAAATGTGTTTCTTTAGCATTACACAAAACTTGAAACAGATTTTCTTAAAAATTATAAAAGTAATTACCCTTAAACTTTTTATGTATGCTCATCAAAAATAAATTGAAGGACTTTAGTAGAATTACATAAAATCATGACTATATATCAAATAATTATTAAATCTTTTAAATAATGTATCAAATGTTCTAAAGTTTTTAAAAAAAAAAAAGTTTCTTTAAAAAAAAACAAAGTAAAATAAAAAATATTTTTATTTTAATCACTTTTATCTGCCATTTATGAAAATTTTCACTAAAAAATTCTGCTACAGTATCTTTGTTTGGCAACAAGTTTCAAGTCAAAACTGATTTTTTCAAAGTTTATTAAGCGTACTTGCAGGTAAAAAAGAATATACTTTTTATTCAAAACTTATTTAATAAATCCATCGTTAAAATGTAGAAGTTATTTTTTTTAACCTATGAGCCACCTTATATACACACATTTTTTTATATATAAATCAAGTTCAAAGGAAATGTTTTTTTTTTTAAATTTAAAACTTACACACTAATGGTCCATGAACCAATTCACACTTAGTGCAGTGATACTCTTCAATATCTTGTGCTTGGTACTCTTCAATTCCAACACAACTTTATTTAAAATTATATTAAATATCAATATGATGTTTATCAATTATTAAGTTAAAAATATACATAAATAAACTTACGACCCATGAAACCATTCACCACATTTTCCACATTCAATCATAAATTGCCCTTCCTCATATTCTTTATTGCACACACAATACAACATTGATGTCATAACAAATATTTTCTTTCCAACCAAGTGTGTATATAGATTAAATAAAAAGTATAATACTTTTCTTTGTTTTAATTGTTTGCAAAATAAAAATGAGAATAAAACTATATTAAAGATAACTATTAAAAAAAAACACCTTCAAAAGTCTAAGCAGGATAAGCACATCATTACAAGTAATGATTTGAATAAAGATTCAAGAGCTACTTTGCTTACATACTTTTACATACTTATTTCAAACTTTTGATTCAGACTATGTATATATCTGATATATACATAGTTTGATATGTTCAAATTGCTACTCCATGTGATATCCTTGTTCAGTAAAAGTGACTGCTATTACTGCACATTTTAATGTATATATCATATAGCTGTAATATAAAAACTTTAAGACTATATCATGAAACTGGTGATTTTAAAAGCAAAACCCTGAACTAAAATACTAAAGGTGACTACTTAACGTGTAGAAAATTGCATTCATTTCAATTTTATGCAATTCGTTATGCAAAAATGCATCTTTTCACCAGTGTTTTGAAAATTTCTCACTGGTATTACACCAAGTATTCTAATAAATAAAAGATGTTTAGGCAAATATTTTTATTTGAAGAGTCATGTTTGAAAGTGCATAATAATATTCTAAAAATATAATTTTTATAAAAATACATTTTTATCATCCAATATTCAGAAATGCAAAGACTGGTTAGCAAAAATGGGAAGATACAATGTTTACTGATGATTTTGATTTTCAAAAATTTGGTTAGTTAATGGTTTTGTAGTTGATAGTATTTTAACTTGACTGCTTTGTATTTTTTATTAAAAAAATTATATACTTTGGTAATAGCAAAACAATAAAATATTTACTAACAGTTAAATGATGTAATAAAGTAGTATTATTGATTTTACTCTGAATTGATCCTGACAAGTTGCAGATTTAAAATAATAATTACTGTTCCCAGTATACTTATTAATCTTTTCAGAAATTAAATAATGTCTTTGATTTAAATATATTTTTATGTTGTTCTGCTATGGTGCAGAACTCAGATTAATATTTTTAAAATGTTAATCTGAGTTCAAATATTCATCTAACTTGTTTTCTAATTCTTGCACTTTCCGTATCCATGTATAATATAAAGATCATGTATAATATACCATGTATAATATACCATGTAATAGACCGTGTATAATATATAGTACACGTTAGACAATTATAAGGTTTTGGATTTATTTAGTTAATCGGAGGTAATTTTTTATAATACGCAAAAAAATTAAATTTTTAAACAATAAAACAGTTTTTTAATAGTTTTTTTCAACTTTAAAGCAAAAAGTTTTAAGCTAATTTATAGCTATTTCACATTGTTTTGTTTAAAAACACATTTTAAATGTACAATAAACATATTCTGCACAAAAACTACATGAATCATTCCATGTAGTTTAATTGTACCATTCAATTTGAATTATACTAATACTCTTATAAATGACTCTGATCTATTTATTAAATAAATACAGACTACTAATTCTCTTTTTAAAAAAATATTTTTACAATAACAAATTTTAAGAAGTTGTTTACAATTTCTTTGATTAACGAAACACCATTATGTTATTCAAAAGGAACGAAAGTAAGCATCACTCTCCGTCGGAGATTTTTGATGTTATATATATATATATATATATATATATATATATATATATATATATATATATATATATATATATATATATATATATATATATATATATATATATATATATATATATATATATATATATATATAAATATATATATATATATATATATATATATATATATATATATGTATATATATATATATATATGTATATATATATATATATATATATATATATATATATATATATTATGTATGTATGTATATATATATATATATATATATATATATATATATATATATATATATATATATATATATATATATATATACATATATATATATATATATATATATATATATTATATATATATATATATATATATATATATATATATATATATATATATATACAGGCCCGCCGCTACCCTTTATGACGCCCGGGGTCAAAACTTATCTAGCGCCCTGTCATATTGATCTAATTCAAAAAAGTTAAGGTACTGTCCAAATACTGGCTTTTTTTTTTTAAACTAAATTCACTTTTAAAGGCCAAGGGATTAAATACAGTCGAGGAGGCTTCTAACTTTATGGTTTTAACACTACGGGCATAATTTAAAGCAAAATTTGGAATGACCTCGTTGTAGCACAGATTTTTTGCAATTGACATTGGTAAGCCGGTCTTGACTTATTGTAGATCCTAATTTTGTCTAGACCAAGCTTACTGAAAGATCTCTCTTTCGGCAATGGAAACGAGAATCGTGTTAAAAAAACGTAACAAAATGCTTATTGATTTGAAGATAGACTCTAGACCTTTTTAATAGATTCCATTTAATAGCTTCATTATAGTGAGATATTCTTTTGGACTGAAAAGCTTAGTGTGCTTCAGAATATCCAGATGATGGACCTCTAAAATTAGTTCGTCTTCATCTACATTGTTCACATATATTTGCGCCAAAGTTTTACATTTCTCCTCCAGGCTAGGTGGTTCAATTTTCTTCACTCGACCTACTATTAGATTCCGAGAACCATAGGAAGGAGAAACTGTTTGTCATTTTTTCTGCAGCTCGAAATCTGTCTCTTATTTGTTGGATTAAAGTATCGAGAGCGGTGTTCTTCAGCCGTTTTTCAAAACGGATTAAAGTAAAAAAAAATCAAAATTGACTTTTTTAGAAAATAAGCTTAATTAGCCTGCAAAGGTTATTGAATAATTGTTTTTAAAGAACTTTGAAAAAGTTCATACAAATCATAATTTTTTAAAAACGTTTTACAAAAACTTTCTCGTATTATTATTTTTTAATGCGTTTTTCTCGAAATACGTAAAAAGCATCTAAAGGCGTTTTGAAAAACGGGTACAGTGTTAAATACGTTCACCTCACACTGCTTTTCATCGTTTTCGTAGAAATGGACTTCATTCCTTGCTTCTTTGTAAAAGGTTTTCCTCATCCTTGTCCTTTTTTGAATTAACTTTGACTAAAACCCATAACTAGCTAGACTGGAGGTAACCAAATGTTCTTCATTAATTAATTCGGGCCAAGAATATCTAAATTCATAAGATCCTCGATTGGAACCCTCATAAGCTTATCTAAAGTAATGTTTCCTGATTACTTATCTAAAGTAATGTTTCCTGATTGAAATGACACGCTGAAAATTGCTCAGCGCGCTTCGAACCAGAAGGTTGTCATGATGATAAACTCAAATGAATAAATCCATTTCTCCAAAGATTTTACTTCATTCAATAGATCCAGCAGTTAAATCAAGTTCCTGAAGTTTTTGCAAAAAAAAAATAATTTTCATTAAGTTGCTTAACCAACGGCTTCAAAGTCCCAATCCGTGCACTCCATCGGGTTTGTGAGATTTAATGAAGAGACAAACCAGTTGTCTTCGTCAAGATTTGACATTGTATAGGGCTTCCACTAAAAAGATTGAAGACTAACTGAATCCGGCCACAATAGTTCTTCATTTCTACAGAAGATTCAAGGGAATGAACACCAGCTAGGTTAATGTTATGAGCGCTGCATAGCATGTAGAAAGCTTCAGGATTTCTCTGAAGGATGATCGCTTTTACTCCTTTGTACACACCAGACATGTTGGTACCGTTGTTGTACCCTCGACCACGACAGTTCTTCAGATTAATGTCATTTTGATCCTAGAAATCCATAATTATCTTGGCAATATTCACAACTTTCTTTTGTTTAAGATTTTTGACCTTAAGAAAGCGCTCCTTAACTACCTGTCTTTTATCAGTACCATTGTAGACAAAGCGGAGAACAAATGCAATTCGCTCAGTATAAAAGACGTCAGGCGTTCTGTCGACAAGAATAAAATAGTAAATTACTATATGCGCATCTTTAATGATGGCACCGTGGACGTTTCTTCTGCACTTTTTTATAAGTTCATTTTAGGAAGTCCAAACAAAAAAAAGCACAATAATTTGTTTACCTTCATGTTGACACAAGGAAACTTCTTTCTGATGTAACTAAACCCGACGGGCATTTTTTTTTTAAAGTTACGATCTAAATGTATTTAAAATGTCTTTTAAACGTCTTTTAAACATTAATGTTTAAAAGACGTTTAAAAGACATTTAAAACACATTTAGAACGTAACTTTAATAAACAAATGCCCGTCGGGAAGGGTCTTGTTGTGCTTTGCGAGTAGTTCTAGAGTTACAAGTATATTGCCGTTATCGTCATCATTGATCATTTTTGAAGAGTCTAAAACGACGATTTAAATGCATACATGTAATAATACACATATAAACCATTTCTAATTAATTATAATTAAAATAAATTATGACATAAATATAAATATAATAACTAATATTCACTAATATACTTCTGAAGCGTGATGCTAAGAAGAGAATTACATCTAGGATGCACTTTAAAAGTTCACGTTGCCTGGCTGCCTCATTTCTTATCGATTTTTCTAAACTTGAATTAATCTTGCACTGGCTTCCTTCAATGTAATAGTCTTGATGGATTGTTTTGGTGGCATTTTTTAACTCCATTGGTGCCAAAATTCCATATTTAATATATATATATATATATATATATATATATATATATATATATATATATATATATATATATATATATATATATATATATATATATGTATTTGATTATATATGTTCTTTTTCAACCTAGCAGCCCTTAAAAGTATTTTCCCGCAACGGTTTTGGCTAGTATCAGACTCCCGAATATAAATTCGGCTAATGCTGTATTGTTGAGTAAACATTTCATTTTTAAATTACGAGTTTAAAGAGTTTTTTATTAAAGCCCTGTGTATCTATTTTATAATAAAATAAAAAAAAAGTTTTCATTTGTGCGCTTCTTCTGATCCTGCGCCCACGTAAAAAGTACCCAGTGACCCTCCCCATTCGGCGGCTCTATATATATATATATATATATATATATATATATATATATATATATATATATATATATATATATATATATATATATAT